AATTGAGAAAAGGAAGGGGGAAAAGGAAAGCTGAAGGTGAAAAAGGGAAGGGAATGAGAAAGGGAACGGAGGAAGGAGAAAGGGGAAGTTAAGGGCAAAGGGAGAGGAGAAGGGAAATGGAGGCTTGGAAACTTTGGACTTAAGAATCCTTGCATAGATGGCGCAACCCTGAAACATTTTCTGGCATAGATGGCGCGGCCCACAAAAATAACGGGGATGGATGTCACGCCCTTTTCGGGTGTCAAAATTCAAAAAGTCGGCGCCATCTATACGCGCACTTTGGAAGAGGGCGGAGCCATCTACCTTGAATAGGGTGTAGATACATGTAGTATCGAAAGAGGAGAACTCCCGACTTGAGAAAAGTCAGCAAAGGCTCAAATGGAGGGAGAGAACATACAAGGTGACAATGACACAGCAAGAATACACAGAAAATCAGAGATTATTCTTTGATGAAGTGGGTGACAGGTCAGTATGAATATTCAAACATCCACATTTGAGTCACCCCAAACATATGAAACAGCCTCAGAGCAACATACTGAGGCTGGTTGAAATAGAGTGACTGAAGCGATCTTAGCAAAGCGGTTGCGAGCTGTTTGTTCTAAACAAGCCTCGAGTTGCCAGGCACAGGGCGTTGAAGTTGAGGGCCGCCCGCTGATGCTGGAATTTCTTCCGGTGCGGCTGTCACTGTCATTCTTTCTGAAATCTTTCTTGTTTCAATTCCTGTGCTGAAATTCCTGAAATAAAGCATGGCGAGCCGGCGGACCCAGTATTTTTATGGGCTGAATGATGTCAATGTGTCCATCATGCCCACAATGAAAGGGCACCGCAGAGGCAAAACTCTTTAGCCTTTGTAGTCTTGACTGAATTTTGAAATCAGTTGCAGGTGGCTGCACATTTTGCAAACAACTATGAATTGTATTGGCGAGGAAATGTGACTTTCATTTGCTCACAGTTGGAAAGCTATCGCAGACCCTTGGTCTGATAGGCCACTGGAAATGCGAAGCCGGAGAAGAAATCAAATCGTGAGGCAACGGTTTTGTACGTGATTTTCCATATTCTAACGTCTTCGACAGGCTTTGTTGTGAGGCATATCCAATTGCGACCCGATGATTTTAGATCGCAGTGGGAGGCATCTCGAGCAACTGAGCTCATCAAGGCCCATTTGCCAAACAAAAACAAGTGGCAGAGGTCAAGGCAGACATATCACTCTGCATCCTTTCCACGATGTGATATAGCGCTATGACACTGCTATGAAGAGCACGCATGCATAGATACGCAGTTAGTTACTGAAGGACAGGACTACGTCAATAGTAACAGCTTTAAGTGTAGGGTTTAATTGACAGAGTCTGCAATGTCCTGGCCTTGTGACTTGAATGCAGCAGATTCTCCCTTGCTGATAAGAGAACACTGTTTGTTCCAAACATGACACGAAAATCCAGGCTTCCAAAATCTTGGCATGCCATCCGTTGCTCTCCAGCAGTCAATTAGTTTGAATAGGGTAATTTTATATGAGGGGTGTTAGCCGAGGCAGGCAGAGGAAAACAAACCGGTTCAGACAGCAGCATCAGATCATCAGACAAATCCTCCTCCTCCTCCTCCTCCTCCTTCTCCTCATCCATTATCATCATCATCAACAACAGCATCACCATCATCCCCATCTCCCCATCTCCCCATCCATCCTTATCTCAGCCTTATCTTATTTTTATCTCAGCCTTATCCTCACCGGAAGGCAGCTAGCCACCTTCTGCAAAATATACAAGCCAGTCACTGTGGCTTTGATTTTGGCGCCAAGACGGACCAAAGAACTTTTTCCCGAATGCGTAGCGAGGGTTCCCGTTTCACTCTGGGGGTTTGGGGGTTGAGGCTGTGTTCGCCAGGCATTGCGCAACCGTCCGCAACTGTTCGCAACCGTTCGCGTGAGGGCCGTATGGCCGTGCCCCTGGTGAGTTCTGCAAAGTGGTTACTTTTGCTCGTTTTGCGTGGCAGGTGCAATACCTTTACTTTTGCGCCGTTTTCAGAAGATGAGTTGCAGTTTTCGTAGCAGCCGCAGCACTTTGGAGAGCTCCATCGTCATTTCGAGTGGCAGGTGCAGAATTTTGGACGTGTCGTGTTGCGTGTTTTTTGCGAATCGCATTGTCAGGGCTGCGTCAAGTTCGTGGTGACAACGTGCAAATTCCGTGGCAGGCCTGGTATTTTGTGAGATGTTCTGACAATTGACGGAAGCCTCGCGCGAAACATCGATTTTGCGGTGGCAAATTTTGAGGTTCATGGGAAAACTCGTCGGAAAACGTCGATTTTGAAGCTGCAAAGTGTGAAAAGTTGAGGAAGTCTCACATGAAAAGCTCGTTTTGAGGCTTCAACATGTCTCGTCTCGATTCTCTGACTTTCTTGTGGCGTCGCCGTGTCTATGTGGGAAGCTGCAAAACCTCCCATTTGCGAATGTCTCCAACCAGGTTGTAATGTCGTTTTGCGTGGCAGGCGTGGCGCTTCGTGACATTCTCACGTGTCTGCAAAAGTGTCGAAAATCGCTGTGTGTGGCAGGCGCAATACTTTTGCATCTTTTGCAAAAGATGCGTTGCGTTTTTCGTGGCAGGTGCAGCACTTTTGAGACCTCCATCGTCATTTTGCGTGGCGCGTGTGTGCTATTGCGTCAAGTGGCAGCAACGTGCAAATCACGTGGCAGGCATGGGACATTGTGAGAGTGTCATTCTGCGTGGTAGGGCCTGCTAATTTTCCACTTGGGTTGGTCCCCCAAAAAAGGCCCCCACAAGTCCCAAAATCTTTCATAAAATGCAGGGAAAACACTGTTTTTTGGGGACTTGCGGGGGCCTTTTTTGGTGAACCAACTTAAGTGGAAATTTACCAGTAGGGCCATATTTGCTGCAGATCCATTGTGTGCGCACTGCTATTTTGCATGGCGGGTGCAGTATTTCGGACACTCTACACTTTACACTTTACTCCGTGCTCTACACTCTACACTCTACACTAGACACTTCACACTCCAAACTTTACACCTTACCGTTTACACTACACTCCACACTCTACACTCCACACTCCACACTCTACACTCTACACTTTACACTCCGCACTCCACACTCTACACTTGACACTCCACACTTTACACTTTACACTCCACACATTGCACTTTACACTCTGCACTACACTTTACACTGCGCACTCCACACTTGGACTCCGCACTCTATATACATTTTAAACTTTACACTCCACACTTTACACTTTACACTCCACCCTTTACACTTTACACTTTACACTCCACACTTTACACTTTACACTCCGCCCTTTACACTTTACACTCAACACTCCACACTCTACATTTTACACTTTACACTCCACACTTTACACTTGACACTCCTCATTCTACGCTTTACACTCTACACTTTACACTGTGCACTCCCCGCTTTACGCTTTACACTCCACACTTTACACTTCACACTCTACACTTTGCACTCCACACTCCACAGTTTGCACTTTCCACACTTTACACTTTACACTCCACCCTTTACACTTTACACTCCACACTCTACAGTGCACACTCTACACTTTACACTTTACACTCCACACTCTACACTCTACACTTTACACTGTGCACTCCCCGCTTTACACTTTACACTCCACATTTTACACCCTACACTCCGCACTCCACACTCTACACTTTATACTCCACACTCGACACTTTACACTCCACACTTTATACTTTACACTTTTCACTCTGCACTGCACACTCTACACTGCATTCCCCCACTCAGCACTCCGCTTTCTTCACACCCCGCCCACACTCTGCACTCCACCCCCTTCCACATTCCACAGTCTAAAGTGCACTGGCGCGGCAACAGGGGAAAAAATTACCAGATTTTTCAAATAATGGCTCAAGTCACCAGGCTCAAGGCTCCTTTTTTTCCGGAGAGTTGGGCCCCCCCGGAGGGGGGGCTCTTGGAGGGGCTCTGGCCTCCGGCAGCTTTTCGCTGCCTGTCCCTCGTTGGCCCCCTGCTGGTGGCTGCAGCGGGGCCCCTCCGTGCCTTGTACTCGGTCCCACGTCTTAGGACCTCTGGTGTGTCGGCTCGGTCGCGCGGGGTCCCCTTGCGGCTGTCCAGCAGGGCGCACATGGCTCCTTCTCGCGGGTTCTTCATCCTTCGCTCACTGCTGGTTCTCCTCGCGTGGCGGGGCGAACTGCGGTGGGTCGGCGTTGGCCACCCCTCCTGCCCACCGGATCTGGACACTCTTGCCTCTGGGGGCCTTGTGTGGGGCGTCGGGAGCGCCGGGCCCTGACAATCAACCTCAGCCAATCACCCGAGACCATGCCCTTAATTGGCATCTGACCCCTTGGCGGTCTTCCACCACCCTTTCACTGTCAAGTGGCGCAAAAGGAGCCGGCACCTTCATCCTCGCCGGTGTCGGTGGCAGGGCTGGCCTTGTCGTGGGACCCGCATTGGTGAAGCCTCCCACCCGGGACCTTCCGGTTCGCACAGGCAAGCCTCTCCACGGAATCGGGAACGGTCTCCTCCGGGCCCACTGTCCGGTGCCGGGCTGCCTGTGTGCAGACCCCGCCCGGGCCCCTGGCTGGGCCCATGAAGCCTGGATGCGGTCCCACATTGATGCTCATTTGTCGGGTGCCTTGAGTGGTGAGGTGCCGGAGTCCTGGCTGCAAGCCCAGCAACGCACTCGGTGTTTGGTTTGCGGCCTGAGTGTGTCTGAGAGGCACGGTGTCCATCCCACTTGCCGCCCTGAAGCGCGGGCCGCTGCGCCTGATCGCGCACCGTCCATGGAGGTTGACAACCTAGACCTTCCGACCTTTACGGACATCCAATGAGCTCGGACACCAGTTCTCCGGCATGTCCCCGCAGCGGCCCGCCATACCTGGAACCAGCTCCTGACACGGGCTTTAGCTACGGTGGCCCACAGCAACGATGAAAGGGCGTGGCGGGAATTTCTTATGATGCCACAATGCCTGCTGTGTGCACCACCGCGGTGCGGTCGGCGGCATGCCAAAGCTGTCGCAGCTTACACACTGGACCGGTTCCAACGCTGGCAGGAAGGGGAACGCATGTCTCTTTGGTCGACTCGCCCTGCCAGGCGCCCCGCCCGAACAGCTACCCCCAGCCTTGACGAGCAGAGGAGCTTGGCCATCAGCCTGCCACGTGAGGGGTTCGACCGAAAAGCCTGCACTGCCTTGCTTTCAAAAGGCCTTTGTCCTGAGCCAGACGGTGGCAGCCCTTGCGGCTCTCCATCCAAGGACCCCTGTGCGCGCTGGTCCCTCTATTGCTGACCTCCCCATTGTCCCCGAAGTTGCCCCAGACCTGGTGGCGCAATGCTTGCGGGCCTTTCCGGCCGAAACTTCGCCAGGGCGCACGGGCCTTCGGGTCCAACATTTGAAGGATGCGTGTGTAGCAGGCGGCACAGATGCCTTCCTGTCCCACTTGGCAGGCGTGGTGCAACTCTTGGCGCGTGGGCGCGCGCCCCACTTCGTGGCCCCTGTTTTGGCTGGCGCTGGCCTGGTAGCATTGCCAAAGCCCAATGGTGGGGTGCGTCCCATTGCTGTTGGGGAGATAATGCGACGGCTCACGGGCAAGTGTCTCATGAAGATCGTGCGAGCTGATGCCCACAACCATTTCTGGCCGTTGCAGGTTGGGGTTGCAGTTCCTCATGGGGCCGAGATTGCCATCCACACTGTCCGGGCGTGGCTCTGGCGGCACAGGACCTCCAATGCCAAGGTGCTCGTCAAGCTCGACTTCGCCAATGCCTTCAACCAGGTGTCGCGCACCACCGTCTTGCAAGAAGCGCGGGCACACTTTCCGGCTCTCGCGCGGTGGGCGACGTGGTGCTACGGGCAGCCGACGCGACTTCAATTTGGCGGGCACGTCTTGGAGTCGCGCTCCGGTGTTCAGCAGGGAGACCCTCTCGGTCCGCTGCTCTTCTCTGCCGCGCTTCAGCCAGTGGCCGCTCTCCTCCGGCAACAAGGGTTGGACATCGCCGTGTTCTACCTGGACGATGGTGTCTTGGCTGGGGACCTGGCTGCTGTCGCTGCGGCTTTGCAGCAACTTCAGCAACGCGCTTCGGCCGTGGGCCTCCACCTGAACTTGGCCAAATGTGAGCTGGTGGTGGCTGGTACTGCTCCTGAAGCTGCGTTGCGCAACCATTTCCCCGTGCCCTTGCTACAGACTGAGCAGGGCGCCGGCAATTGGTGACGATGATTTTGTACGCAGCCACACTGCAGAGCGGGCCGCCAAGGCCGGAGACTTACTTGATGGGCTTGGGGGGCTTCCCGACCCTCAGGTCGCGCTCCGGCTCCTTCGGACATGTGCTGGCTTTTCCCGCATGGTGCACAGCATGCGCTGCAACCCTTCCCATGCGCAGGGCCTCGCCTTCAGCATGTTCGATGGCATGGTCCGCAGAAGTTTAGGCGACTTTACTGGCATCCACCTGACCGCTCAGCAATGGCTCCAGGCTTCTCGCGGGCTAGCCTTTGGTGGCTTGGGGCTTCGGTCCTGTGAACAACATGCGCCTGCGGCCTTTCTTGCTTCAGTTGGTGCCTGCATCTCTGGCTGCCAGGCTTTGGATGCCAATTTTTCTGTGGACGAAGCCAAAGCCTGGAGACGTTCAAGCATGCCCTGGTCCAGTTGAACGCCGCCCTTCCACCTGACAAGGCCATCACCACAGAGGCCGCCTTGGGATCCAAACAAAGTACCCTTTCCGAAAAGTTGGATGGGGCTAGGTGGGCCCACCAACTTCACCACGCCAGCATCATTGAGCAAGCGGTGCTCCGCTCCGAATCTTCTGTTGGTGCCCGTGCCTTCCTTTCTGCCCTTCCTCACGGCCACGGTCGCATGGAGCCAGCTGCCTTCATCTCGGAGCGGGTCAGGCTTGGGGTGCCCGACTCTGATGCCGATGCTTGGTGCCCGCGTTGGGATGGCATCTCGGATCGCCAGAGCCATCATGCTGGAACCTGTGTGGCCGGTGGCGAGCGGACCCAGCGCCACCACGCCATACGCAACTTGGAGTGGGCATCCCAAGCGGGGCTCCGGCCTGAAAAGGAGGCCCCCCACCTCCTGTTGCCACAGAGCCCTGATGATACTTCGACGCCCCAACGCAGGCCAGCTGACCTCTTCATACCGGCCCTGGCGGGTTCCCCTGCTGCTCTTGACTTTGCTGTCACAGCAACTACGCGGCAGGAAACCTTAGCCTCGGCCAGCCAAATAGAAGGAGCTGCGGCGGCTGCCTATGCACACCATAAAGAGACCTACTTGGCCACTGCTCAAACTTGTGAGCGGCAGGGCGTCCTGTTCCTGCCCATGGTCGTTGAAACCACTGGCAACTGGGATGCTCGTGCCTACAAGGTTTTGCGGCACATCGCGCAAGGGGTGGCCAGCCGCACTGGCACGGATCATGCGACAACCTTGTCTACGCTCCTTCAAGAGGCCAAGGTGGTAGTGCGGGGCTTTCGAGCCAGGGCGGCTTTGCGCCGTCGGGCAGAATTGGCATCTCAATAGTCTGTTTGTCATCACCCTGGACCACTATGGAACACGCCTGAAGCCAATTCTTGGTGAAATTCATGCCGTGCGGACTGGCCGCCAATGGGCTCGCAGTCCTTTTGCCGGCTCACATTTTCCAGCCTTGGCAGGCTTCCTTTTCCAGCTCGTAGCCAGTCCATTTCATTTTGCTTGTCCTGCCATTCCGGGACCAATGCTCCTTTCCTTTTGTCACCCCCTTGCTCGTGTAGCGTGCGGGGGTGCGGGCTGACTCGCACAGTCATACAGCGTATCTTCTCAGTTCCTTCTCCCAGAAGCGGCATCACTTCTTGTTGCCATTTTGCTTTCAAATAATTTGTTTCACAGAAGTGTTTTACGTGACTGCATTCGGGTTCGTGGGCTGCATCTTGTTTCGCACTTTTTGGAGAAGACCAGCCGCTACATAGGTTGGTAAGGTTTCTCTCGTTCTTTCAAGTTCCGGTTTAGTTGAATTTGCGCATGTCCGTGCCAATCCAGGATTCAAAGCTTGCGTATTTCAAATTCCTGATGCAATACCTGTTTTTTGTCCACCCCATCCATCCCAAGCGCTGTAGTTCATGGAAAGCTAGAAATTTCATGACACCACAAACCACAAGAGTTTGGTGTATGCGGATGCATCTCGATCTGAGAAGTGTATCCGAGCGGTTGCAAGCATGGCCAGTGTTAAAGCGGGTGCTGTTGAAACTTGAAACCAACCAGTAGTGGGCTACCCCAGTTGCCACTGCGCGGTTGCAATCAATAAGTATGCATAGAAACAAATAAAGGGTACATGAGAATGACATGTGGAACTCCTGATCTTTTAGAGGTTATATGGTGCAATGCGGTTTGCAACATTTTGGGTCAGGTTTAGGACACATAAAACGGTACAAAACGTTTGAACTCGCATAGGAATTCTCTGAAAAACAATTTGCACGCATCTGGAGGTGTCGGTGTAACATGGTGGTTTCGATGCGGCGCAAATTCTTTAGGTTGTTGCGCAAGCTGGGTGCCATGCCGTGGGGTAAGATTGCAGATGGTGAAAAAAGTTACCACCCATACTGCTATAAACATATCTATCTATCTACCTATATATATATATATGTAAATATCGCTACACATACCTATATGTATATCTATCTATCTATCTTTCTATCTATCTATCTATCTGTCTATCTATCTACCTATCAATCAATCTATCTATCCAGCTATCAATCAGTCTATCTATCAATCTACCTGTCAATCTATCTATGAATCTATCCACCACTCTATGTACCTCTATCTATCTCCATCTGTCTCTATCTATCTCTATCTATCTCAACTATCTCGATGTCTATCTATCTAAATCTGTGTGTATCTCTTTCTATTTCTATCTATCTCTATTTGTCCCTATCTATATCTATCTCTACCTAAATCTATCTCTATAACTAAATAAATAAATATATATATATATTAATATATATATATAAATATACATATATATATATATTTGTATCTCTATGTATGTCTATGTATCTCTATGTATCTCTATGTATCCCTATGTATCTCTATCTACCTCTATCTCTATCTATGTATCTTTCTACCTACCTACCTACCTACCTACCTACATACCTATCTATCTATCTATCTATCTCTCTCTCTCTCTATCCATCTATTTTATCTAATCCAATCGAATCTGATCTAATCGAAGGAAGTTTAGAAGTTAAACTTCCGACAATATGGACAGATGAAAAGCAGAGCAGGGAAGAGGCAGAGAGAAGAGAAAGATCAGAAGAAAGAAGAGCGAGAAAGAGTAAGAAGAAAGAAGATGCAGATGCGCGAAAAGGTAGGAAAGTCGCGAAACACTGTGTTTTTCCAATGATTTGGGTCTCCGGAGGGTCGAAAAGTGGGCTCGCTAAAGCGGCGGGTGCGGAGCCAGCTGGCCAGATGAGAGATGAAAAGTTGCACGCCGTTGTGGCGCGAAGCACATTTGGAAGAAGTCAAAAGGACCACTTTTGGAAGTTGCGATGTCGAAAAAGGGCACGCCGTTGTGGCGCGAAGCACATTTCGAAGCCAAAATGCACAAAACACACCAGCTCCGGACCACTTTTGGAAGTTGCGATGTCGAAAAAGAGCACGCCGTTGTGGCGCGAAGCAAATTTCGAAGTCAAAATGTACAAAACACACCAGCTCCGGACCACTTTTGGAAGTTGAGATGTCGAAAAAGTGCACGCCGTTGTGGCGCGAAGCACATTTCGAAGTCAAAATGTACAAAACACCACAAGTTCGCGCCACTTTTGGAGGTTCAGATGTCGAAAAAGTGCACGCCTTTGTGGTGCGAAGCACATTTCGAAGTCAAAATGTACAAAACACCACTTTTGCGCCACTTTTGGAGGTTCAGATGTCGAAAAAGTGCACGCCGTTGTGGCGCGAAGCACATTTTGAAGTCAAAATGTGAAAAGCACTAGGGGTTCGGACCACTTTTGGAGGTTAAGATGTCGCTTCGCTTCGCTTCACTAGACTACACTACATTACACTACACTACACTCCACTACACTACATTACACTACAAGACACTCCACAACACTACAACTACAACTATACAACTACACTCCACTACACTACACTACACTCCACTACACTAAATTACACTACACAACACTACATTACACATGGAGAGATAGATAGATACATAGAGAGATAGATGGATAGATAGACAGATAGATAGATAGACAGATCGATAGATAGATAGATACATAGATAGATGGACAGACAGACAGATAGAGAAATAGATAGGTGGACAGACAGATAGATAAATAGTCAGAGAGATAGCTAGAGAAATAGAAGGCGAGATAGACAGATAGATACATAGACACAAAGACAGATAGTTATCGAAGGAAGTTTGGAAGTCAAACTTCCGACAATATGGAGAGATGAGAAAGCAGTCAGCAGGGAGAAGAGTCAGAAGAGAAAAGATCAGAAGAAAGAAGATGCAGGTGCGCGAAAAGGTAGGAAA